ATGCCAATCCTTTGGAAGATTTCAATGGAAGGGAAAAGTATTGGTGAAAGGACCTTAATGTCGCCTAGAGAGGGGGGGTGGTGAATAGGCGTTCCTAAAAAAATTATCACACTTCATAGCATATTAGAAAAATGAGAACTTTCGGTTCAAATTGGAACTTTCCTGTATGGTTTGGAAATTCCGGTCTCAACCAAAAAATTCAGTGGATAATGGAATAAAGCACTAGCTATGAACTTGTAACTCGAATAAACAAAATATATATGAACCAAAAGGTGACAAATAAGGTACCTAAGTAAGATATACAGCTTGCTAGCCTGCACCAAAATAGGCGGTGGTCTCCCATATAGATTTTAGGCAATTTTTTCCTTGATTCAATTTCTGATTTCAGTTCATTGTTCCATTTTTACTTGCACGACCCTTTCCAAATGCTTAGAGAATCAAATGATATCAAAATCAGATTCAAAATGATTTTTCAAATCATTGTTTAGGTTCTCACTCAATTGTGTACTTCTCATTCCTAATGTGATGACATCCTTCATATGGCATTCAACCTAATTTTTCTTCAACATGTATACGCTATCAAACCAAGTTTGCTTGCTCATCTTTTTCCTCAAAATGTCAAAGTGATGTATTCTTCAATGCCCTCATACTCAAACATGCATGTACTAAAAAGCAATAGAACATTTGTGTCTTCATTCTTCAGTTCATGTAGATGGTTGATAGCATTCTACATAATTTGAAAGGTGCATAACCCATGCCATGCTTATGTAAACACCTCTTCAACCGCCTTTTCCATAGTCAAATCTTGATCGATATAGAATGTTTTAGGCCACTTTCCATTATGAGCTTTCAGAAAAGTCTCAAACAATCACTTGAAAGACTCAAATGTTTCATCATACATGAGTGCAGAACCAAAAACCACGGTTTCTCTAAAGTGATTGAACCCTACAAACACACAAAAAGGCCTGCTCTCGTTATTTGTTTCAAAAGTGGTGTCAAAGCTAACAACATCACCAAAATGTGGTAGTCCATGATCATTTTAGCATCAGCCTAGAATATATTTGCAATTTGCTCTTCATAGTCAATTCGCAGTGCATATTGGAATGATGGGTTCTCAACAATTTTGTCATGAAAATACTTAAGCACACTACCTTCTTGGCCATATGCCATCTCCCATTGGCGCTTGCTCCGTAAATAGTTCTTGTTATCGTGAAGGGTGTAGCTAAGATTGAGTGTTCCGCCTTGTGCCGCTTTTAGCCCAATTCATGCATCATCCGTCGTTTCAATTTAAAAGGCATTTTCCTTTGTGACACCATTAAATATAGAGTTTCAGGCAAGTGTAGTGGGTGATTGTGTTCCAATACCAGATCAGACTCTTTGTATATATCCTTCTTTCCATCTACTTTCAGATTCATGTAGACTTGACAATTGGTTCAGTTTCAGCTCGAGGGCATTTTGTTAAATGATTCCTTTTATATTGTAATCGATAACCCTCATTTGCACAAACAAATCTACATTATGTGATCTTGCTATCGGATTGCCTTTTGTTTTAATACATTTTTCTTACCTCGAAGCCTTCTTGCCCACCGTAGCTAAGCCAAAATGCGCAAGTTTCATTTGGATTTGTAAATTCCATTCCAACCTTAGATACCAGATTAGGAACCTATGATTGCTGACCAAAAAATTGGAAAAACCATACTATGATTGTTGTTTACATATCACCACACATATTGCTAAAGACACAATCATAACATTGTTTTACACAAACCTATGTCCTTCCATCGCATGACTATTAGACTTGCTTTAGTGGCAAGTCTCAGATTGACAAGCGACAGTTTCTTCCATGAGAAAAGGGAAAGCTCGATCAAGCTGAAAGAAACATGACGATGTATGTTTGATTGATTTAGTGAGCCATTTATGAGAAAGAAGGTGGTCGAGAGACAGATTGTTGAGATTTACCTAGAGGATTGAAGGACGGAGAAGCTCACCCCATCAGTGATTGCCTCCTCAGCTCCTCGCACCAAAACTCTCGTCCATGGTGCCTCTTCTCGTGCCTTTTTCTTATTCTTGTGCCTCTACTCGCTATGCTTATGGGCCAAACCAAGCAGCTGGGCGCCTGAGCTAAATCAATCAGCTAGGCCAAACAAGATGTATGGGAAGGAGCTGCTGTTGGATATGAATCAAGTTGAAGGATTCAATGTTATCTGTGCAATTTGGCCACTTTTACAACATGTCCAATTTAAATGATTAATAAAGCATATCAGTAAAAACCAAGAGCGCATCAGCGCCACATGCTAGGCCAGCAACACATCGTAAGTATAAACGGCACGATAGGGCGCGCTATAACGACATGTTGGCTATCGAGAGTCGATGATCGATGGTTGGGCTGCGTGAGAGAATGGACGCTATGGAGAATAACGTCCACGCTAGAGTTGGGCTGCGTCCATACTACTTTCATAGCATCTAGATTGGATGCTATGATGCAGTTGGAGGGATCCGGCTCCTCTGACTTTGAGTGAAAACGTCAGAGGCACACAGTGTTTTGGGGCTTACGCTACAGTACAAAACAGTTCCTCTACTGTAGTCACTGTAGCAACGGCAGAAAACAATAAAAAATATTGTTTATATATCATATTGTAGCGATCGATCTTGTCCGTTCACTGCAGTTCAGACCGTTAAAAATACCACAATTAGAGGACTGTGCGCCTCTGACGTTTTTTCCCAACGTCAGATGATCTCATTCCCAGTTGGATATAGTGTCCATAGTATTTTCATCAGTCACCTCACCTATCCGATTTATTACTACTTATTTAATTCAAATGAAAATGATTAGAAAAATTAAAGAGTAAATTTCACAAAACTACACATTTTGTGGTCTAATTTGCAGAAAACTACACACTTTGACACTTGGTACTTAAGTATATATATTTTGGTAGTGTAGTTTCACCAAACCACACTATCAATGAATGTATTCACCCGTGAGATGGCGTGGTTGTTTCAACTAGGACGAGGACATGGCATCCTATTACCAGCCATCGCACGAAATTAATAGGATGCAACGTCCTCATCCTAGATGGAACAACTATGTCATCTCACGGGTGAATCCATTCATCAATAATGTGGTTTTGTGAAACTAAACTACCAAAATATATGTACTTAAGTGCTGAGTATCAAAATGTGTAGAACTACTATTAGGAGCGCAGCGCGCCAAACATGCACCAGCCCAGGCCCCCCCCACCTCACGTCCCGTCATCCCACTCTTACCATTGTCGGAATAAACGATTTACTCCTATCGCGCGCCTCAACCACCCACCTTTATTCGAGTAAACAATTTACTTCGATAATAAAAACAACTCCACTGCTTCCGATCCCACCCCACGTCTCGCATCGTGCACCCACCATTATCAGAGTAAATAATTTACTTCGATAAAAACAACTTCTCTACTGGCGGTATATATTCTATTTTTCTCGTACCCAACCAACTACTCTCGCCCCCACTCTGTTTTTTCCTTTTTTTTTCGGATCTGAATCGATCCACCATCCCAGCCCACAGATCAGCGACACACCATGGAGGAGGACGACGACACCGTGGCGGTTGATGGTGGTGGCCGGCGAGCGGTGGCCGGCGGCGGTTGAGGCGAAGGCACTATTTCGAGCCTCGCTGCCGGACGCTAGGCAACACCTTAACCAGCAAGGAGGTGTTCACCTGGGCTAATAGCAACAACCAACGACTGCTCCACGTCGACGACATTGATAGAACAAGCAAGTAAGGAAATAACACTCTGATTTGCATCTGCATACTTTCCTTCAACTTCACACATGAAGCCCTAATTTTTTTTGCAAATCAAATTAACATGCAATCTCCAATATTACCTGATCTCAATTGATGGGCTGCACAGGTTCTACATTTGCACATCGTGCTCCATGTGGCTGGCCGCAGAGGATAGGGTGGAGTCCACTGGTGATGGAGATTGTTTGCTATTTTTCTTTTGCTCATCATCTGTATTACATGAACGAGAATGTTTTTGCATTTTTTTTGTGCTTGCTAGATGATGGATAGCTGCTATTGCGCAACGTCGAGCTCATCTCTATACCACACCGCTACATCCTTCCATGATTCCATAATGGATTTTCGGCTGAATCATTTATTTTCTTTTCTAGTTTGATTCACCTGTGAGTAATTTTATAGTTTGTGTGTGATTGAGCCTGTAACTTTTTCATTCATACGACTATTTTGTGATACAGATCAATAATACTCTTAGTACTAGTTTTTACATATTACTACACGGTGGCTACAAGATCATGGCTATATCGAGAGGAAGGTGGTAATTGTTTTACTCGCATACCACAAAATCTCAGTTTTTACTCTTATACTGTGTATTGAACACATCAGTAAACATATTACTACACGGTGGCTATTACATCATGGGCTATATCGAGAGAAAGGTAGTAATTATTTTACTCATAGACCACAAAATTTAAATAATATTGGTAAAACAATTACTAGCGTTGTAAGCTAGTAGTAATTCTTTTACGACCATCTAAGTATGGCGTTATACGATGTGGAGGCATTCATGCGAGTAAATTTATTACTTTAGAATGAGGCATTCATGCGAATAAATTTGTTACTCTAGAATGAGCAGATGTGGGAGGCTAGGAGTAAATCAAAAACTCCACGGAGTAAATTCGTTATTTTTGAGACGTGACCGGGCCCATTAATGAAGCATGATAAGATGGAAAAGAGAAAAAAAAGAAACACACAAGATGGGTGGTAAAAAACGAAAAAAATCAAACCGAGAAAAGGTGCGATGCGGAGGAAATGTGGGGTGGTAAAAAAGAAAAACCGGGAGGAGAAGGCGGTGTGCGGCGCTCGAATTATTATTCCGCGCTGTAGCACGTGGAATAGCACTACCGTCAAAATATGTGTTGTTTTATACAACTTAAATCACAAAACAATGTATTTTTATGAAATTTACTCAAAATTAAAACAATCGGCATATCCCCTCCCCCGTTCCCCACACTCTCCTCACAGTCACCAATGCCGAAGCCCAACCATCGTGCCCGCTCCGCCGCTGCCGGCGGCGGCGGGGGCGGCGGGGGCCCGATAGACGCGGATTGGAAGTACTTCCTCGACAATGTCCGCGAGGAAGGCCACTCCTACGCCGTCCGCGTCCCTGCCGACGGCGCCAACCCTTCCTACTACCTCCAATACGAGAAGCCCCTCACCAACGGCGCCGCCTCCACCTCCTCCCGGGGCGGGGCTGCACGCAAGCGCTGCCGGATGGAGGAGGAGGAGGAGGAGGAGAGCTCGTCCGGCGAACCCGAACCCGCACCCGACCCCGACATTGAAGAGGACTACCGCGTGTTCCTTCAGAACGTGCGCCTCGTTGGGCATGGCGGCTTCGTGCTGGAGCATGAGGGCAATGTGATCAGGTACGATGCTTCGGGCGCGGCGCTCAGCTCGGATGAGTCTTCCGATGAGTCCGTGATGGGTGCTCCGGAGCCCGATCCGCGTCGACGAAAGGTTTGCCAGCTCGTTCTACTTTCCATCTTCTTGTTTACTGTTGTTGTGCGCGTCTCTGACATACATGTTTGCTTGCTCTTAGGCGAAAATTGTGGAGGAGGATCAGGAGGAGGAGGAGGATGTGAAGAATGAGGTTGCCGTTCCGTCTAGAAAGAAAGATTTTACCATGGTAAAAGAGGATCAGGAGAAGAAGGGGAAGAGAGTGGTCGACCTTCCTGCTAGGGGGGAAGATGGTGCCATGGTGGCGGAAGAGGATCGGAAGAAGAAGCTCAGAAAAGAGTTCAACTTTCATTCCTTTCATTCTAAGGGGAAAGATGATACAACACCAGTGAAAAATCTGAAGGATAAGAAGAAAGAGGTTAAAAATCCAAAGGATAAGAAGGTTCATGGGAAGAAAGAGGTTGCCCTTTCTGCTAAGGGGAAAGATTGTCAATTAGCAGAGGGTGTGGTAGGTTCTCATGGCCCAATGTTGGTTATTTCTGAGTCTGATGTAATGTGTGTGACAAACATGCGTGACATGTGCCTGATCAGGTGATCAAGGTGGAAGAGGAAGATGGGCAGTTGCAGATTGTGCCGGCTGTGGAGAAACTAGCGACTACAACTAGACTGACAAACTTAAGCAATGGCCACAAAACCGCCCCTCGTATCGCTTCGGTGAGAATTTCTTATGTTATGCATGCCAGTTTCTCTAATCTGTTATGTCGGACATTAGCTAAAGATCATATGTTTCATGTGCACTTTCATTTTGGAAATAGTTCTCTGCATCTGTGCTTTGCAATCGGTACTTAGCATCGTACAAATGTCAAACCTTCTTTGTTGTAGAACCTGTGTCTTCCAACTTTTTTTGAGTGTAGATGGCTCGTACATCATGTCGAAAAATCGTACTTGAATTCAAATTAGCTAGTATATTATTGTTAAAGATGGAAACAGTTTGACTGCTTATCATCCACTTTTAGCATGCTTGATCAACTTTAGCTTTGCACTACTTGCCCTTCCGAGTGCTTCTTACTTCACAATTTTGGCTAAAACATGACAAATTAGCCTACGTGCCTATTGCTGTGTAATTCTGTATGAACATTATAGTCAATATGTTTTTACAATTGAAAAATGATAACCTATTTTCGATTGTGAAATTTATATTTTCCCTGTTGCACTTCATGAACTTCATCATACTAACCTAACAACCCTCACAGCTGTTTGTTTTCTTTTGAATGAAGTTCAACATCAAACCATGAAACAAAAAATCTTCAAACTTTTATTTCCAGTACAAAGAACCCATGATCCAACACCAGTTGATTTTCTTATTGATTGTTTCCTGTTACAAAATTTGTTGATTTAGCGCTATAGTACATGCTAAATGGTTGATGAAGTCAGCCATTGAGTCCGCTATGAGAAGCACTATTTTGTTTGTTTCCAATTTCTAACATTCATAGTTTGAGTGTTACTGGAGTACTTTTGTTGGTGCTCATGGAAGAAGTGGGTCTGAGACCTGGGATGGCTCAGCAGGAGGGAAAAACAAAATCTGCCTATCTGGTTAGGCTTCTAACGATAATTAAGAGAGATATGTGTAAAGACTAAAACAAGATATTTGGATTTGTTGTTTTTTGTTTGTCCGCCTTTTGGCATTCATGCTTTGTTTCTGTGGCCCCCAGAAGCTACTACAGGGCTTTGAGATAGCTGCAGAGCCAATTGTACAGAATTAGGTGGTTTGAGATTATGTTTGAGCTGGTCCTGATTAGCATGCATTCTCAATAAGACACTTGTGTTAAATTGTTTGCAGCTCTTTCTGTTCATAAATCCAGCATTGGATCTCTCTTTTTTGTTTCGGCCTACCACAGCTTGATTTCATGACACTTTTCTTCGGATGTTTTGTTTGACACTTGTGTTAAATTGTTTGCAGCTCTTTCTGTTCATAAATCCAGCATTGGATCTCTCTTTTTTGTTTCGGCCTACCACAGCTTGATTTCATGACACTTTTCTTCGGATGTTTTGTTTGAAAACAGTTTGACTTGACAAGTTGTAATGCTACGTGAAGGATTAATGTGAATCTAAAATTGGGCTGTATTGAATTATAGAACAGGCTATATCTGTTTAATCTGCTTTTGATAACATGGGCCTAGCAAATAAACTATTCATTTTCTGTTCTATTCAATTAATGAATAAATCTGAAGCTACAACTTCACAAATCTGCTCGACTTTTACCTTGTCTGCCTTAAAATGATCATCAGTAGTTGCTCGAGCAATTCCCACTTTTAATAATATAAACAAACGCCTACTTAACAATGTTTCCGTAATCTAGTACTCTGTAATTCCTGCGTGTGCATACTACGGTTTCCTGGCCTTCTAATATACAATGTTTCATCTAGTCTAACTGACTAGAAGTTCTGCCACTGCAATTTATGTACCAAATTTGGTTCTGAACTCTAGTTTTAAGCAATGTACGTGTATAAGACAAGACTCATATGTGCATGGTCCAGTCGAGAAGACGTCCTTGGCTTAGAATTTCTTTTTCATTTGTTCAATGTTCTTGGTCACTCTGTATGCCGTTCATGACTGGGTTCGTGCACCATTAGACAGTGATAATTAGTCGCTGTTATCATTATTCATGGGCCATCTGATGGGCATAAAACTCTCTTCATCAGTGATAGAATATATTTGATTATTGCCATTAGCTAACAGGGCCTATTCACATATTGGGCCTCAGCTCAAGTACATAAAACCCAATAATTGGGAGATAATAATTGAAATACCATTGCCTAAATTGCCTTAACACCATCACTTGTTAGAGTTCAAGCGATGCTATGAAAGCAAATCCCCAATAATTAGAGGATGCTACAAGTTGCCCAATAATCATTTGTTTGTTGAACTATTTCCTTAAACAGATCTCTTCACAATTTTGTTTAGTTAAGGAAAGTGATGAAACTAGGCAAGCACACAACCCTTACATCGCCAAGTGCTTAGCACTTGTTACAAAGAAAGGGATAAAAGGCCAAAAAAATATTACATAACAAAGAAATTATTGTTGGCCAACACAAACCTGCTTCTGGAACAACTAGAGAAACATTCACATGAACTCGATAACTATGCAGCAAAAAAGTTTTGAGTTTTTAATCTTCGGAGGAACACCTCCAAGAAGGGTTACAATCCATTGTCATATCCAACCATTACAACCCATCGTCATCGCCAAATCCAACCTGTGAATATTAGATAATGGATTTCTCTCCGCATCTCAAGTACCAATTCTCCATGGCAAAGCTTTCAAGAAGCGCACCTGTCGACGCCATTGATGAAACTAACCAATAAATAGTAGAAATATGGTTTTCATCCTTGATGAATTATTAGAGCTTGTAGATAATTTCTCAACACTATCTAATTGCTAGATCCAATTAATTTAGACTAGATTGATGGATATAGCAAAGTGAAGACCAGATCATCATAGGCTACCATAGCTGTCGAGCCATCATGATCTCCACCCTGCTGATGAAGGAAGGTCGACCGTTGGGGAAGTCATTCCTCGACCACCACTCCCTCCACATTCTAGCTATCCCCAACTCTATCCACCGCCACCATAGGTTGGCATGCCTAGAAAGGCATATTTGTCAAGGTTTCATGACCGCTGACGATCGCGTACCATCACTCTCCATGCAGTGAACTACAGCTGCCAACGGCCCAAAGAATCTATGTTGGACGATGAGCAGTGAGGATATGGAAATGTTGGGCGGTGCGGCGAGGATCACACAACCATTTAATCGGATTTGAAACCCTATTAGGTGGAATCTTCCAACTACCACACCAATGCTGTTTCCCGAGAACTCTTTATAGCTAGGGCATGTTATATAGTTTTACAACATTTTTAACCTTCTTAATGATTATGCATTCTGGCATTTTTGTTTATTGATAATGCTGTATACCTTGTTGGTATATAGGTCTTTTTGCTATTTATATGCACATAGTTTCAGAAGTATTCATTATTTGGCCTTATTTGGGAATAATTGAAATTGTGCTGGGATATGATTCGTACTCATTTCCAAGGCTAAAAAAAGACGAAAACAAATACACTGAAGGAATTTTCGGTTTGCACCCAATCCATTCTCATCTCATAGCTCTGTATGTTGTTGCGCGTGAGGCACCAGCTACATGGCTGCCTGTCTCCAAGGACACCAACTTGAACATAGTGGTAAAATTTCTAGGAAGCAAAGTTTTTTGTTTGTTCACTTTCCTGATGTGAAACTCTACAAGAAACAAAAACTCATGTTAGATATACGACTGCAGCCAAACAAGAAACAAAAGTATAAAACACATTTTCATTTCTGTCATCTTATCAAATTGGTTAACGAAATGTCAAATGCGGTGCATGGACATATGCGAGCACCAATGGGAAAGCTCATACTAAAGCAATTACATGAAGTGGGTTAATACATGGCAATTTTCCACTTGGTGGGGTGGATTAGTTGGATGAGTTTTGACTTTGATTGCTTTTTTTTAATACTAACATTATCTTACCTTTTTTTTTTTTTCTGTTTTTCCACACATTTTCTTCCCTTGTTCCATATCTCTTAGATGGCAAGACTTATTGGACCACATTATTCTCACCAGGGTTGACTACTAGTTCCTTCTACATTGAAAGAATGCGATGGAGGCTAATAGTTCGAATCATTCACGAAAATTGTTAATGTTGTAGTATTTGTATATTTGTGTACCATGCTTATTCACAGTGCACATAGATTTTTAAAAAGGAAGGAGCCCATGTAGTTCTGATCCTTTTGTTTGATTGTTGGAATGCTTTTGTGTTTCTCATCTTTGATTAATGCTATGCCATACTTTTATTTCTCGTAATTGTTAGTTGTATTTTTAATTTTAGAAGTTGTCAGTATGTCATAACATAGTTCCTTTTAATTGCAACACATTTCTCCTTATTCATTTTTCCAGGGGTCACATGGAGTTATATGGCCAATACATATAAATGATAGGGAAGAATCGGATTTCAAGCAAAGATTGATACATGTTCTCAACAAACCCTTTAGCCAGGGAGAATATGACAAACTCTTTGGTATGGCTACTATTCGCAATCCATTGACAAGGGAACGTCGGACACGCTGTGGTGTGAAGTATTACTACTCTCAACATGAGAAGGCAAAATCATATTTTGATTGTTACCCAGGTATTCTTGCTTATGTATCATGCACATTCATTTGGTATGAGTGTGACAGACATTTTTTTTGATTTCTGCCATGTATTATTTTGTTAGTGGAAGAAATCTTTCTATAATTACAGAAACGATAATGTGTACTGTTCTGTTTTTCTGTGCTTATTGAACATCTATTTGTTATCCTTTATGGAACGTTTAAAAGGTTTTCCTTTGCTCGCAAGTGTTATTTTCATTGTTTGGGACTATATGGTTTTTAGAGTTTTTACATTTTTATGCCTTATTCAAGTCTGCCCATGACAATGTTTATCCTACAAACTGACCATAACACGGATGGATGATGTTGTATTCATCTGTGCTCAAGTATATGGAATGTTGGATCATTTTGTACAACACTGCGAGCGTCCAAAATAGTTTTGTTTTGGACTTCATACTGATCTTATGTGAGCTAAATTGTTTCATTTAAAATTTTCAGCATGTATGCAGATGTCACTGCTGTGATGGGAATGCTGAAAAGAACAGTGGATTTATCCCCATCGAGATAATCCAAGAAATGCTATTGACAAGTGCCCAATTCCAAGAAATGCCATCAACAGTGCGAGTTCCATAAAACGCCATCGTACACGCAACTTTGTTCTAGAAATGTCATCGCCGTTAGGGTTGTGCCCATCCTGCCCCGTTAAATGCATTGTTCATCCTATAGCACATAAATGATAGCTCCTAACGGAACCGTAATGGCAATGGCATTTTCGGGACAACATCACTGATACGACGACATTTCATGGAACTCGCACTTGTCGATTGCATTTCTTGGAATTTGGCGCTTGTCAATGGCATTTCTTGGATTTTCTCTATTCGATTAAGTATAATTTTTATTTTCTTTTGCTTTTGATGTTCTTTTGCCCTCAAAGAGATGACAAAGCTGACCTTGGTATCAAATGAAATCTGCAAAAGTGCACTAATCTGGTTTGTATTCTGTTGTTGAGCTATAGCAGCAATTAATTTTATTTATTTGACTACAGATCTTGCCAAACAAGTTGAAGAAGCCAGCTATCCCAATCGCTTGGCTCTGTTGCGTGGGCTTTTCTTCTGGTTGGAGGTAACTTCATACTGTTTTGTGCAATGCTAGTTTTTTTTTTTTTTTTTGATCAAGGGCTTGTCAATTTGTGCAATGCTAGTAATTATGATGTTGGAGAACTTCATAGTGTCTAGCTGCTAGTATTCACATTTCCATCCCTGTTAAGCTCTCAATATATTTGTGTTTACTTGCACAAACTACTCCCAATCAGAGCAGATTATTTGTTTTTGGTAGAGTTAAAGAACCATATTTTTTAGTGTAGGTTTACAGTTTGTCTAGCCCTGTGATGTATGTTACACTTGGACTGCTACGTGCTAAATATGGGGCTGGGACTAATTTCTGGGAATGATGCCAAATGTCACTAGTTTGCTTCCTTTTGCAGCATTAGTGTTCGTATTATCTTCGTACTAGCATGCAGTGGCATACCATTTGGCTACATGCTTGCGCAATAGTACGATTTTTTTTTTGAACATTTACTCTAGTTCTTTGTAGTTTTCTTGACTGTGTATTGTTTTGTAGAATATTGGGCAAGATGATCAATTCAGGCCGTGGAGAGACGATCACAAACGCTACAAAATTATGTCTCTCTGAGAACACATAACAAAGTTCTTACTTGCATGTGATTATCTGCAGCATCTCGCCCATCATTGTTGTAAATACGTACCCAGTAAAAAACCGTAGAATGGAAATGGCACTGAATTTAGGCCCTTCTCTAGTCTCCATAGATAGGATAACCTTGGGTTCTCTCACCTTCTCTTTGTGTAACTGAGTATGGGGTTGACTAAAATGTGTTTAGAGAATGTTTACTTGTACTAACTCAGTCCGAATTCTGGAACACCCTATGGCTCATGGCTTTCTATCGGAGGAGCAAAATGAAAAAAAAAATGCTGTTCCTCGATATTTTCTTTCAGAAATATACCGGATTTTCATTGATTTGCAGAAATATACTGTCGATATCACGTTTTTTTTTTTTGAGGGCAGATCAAATATTAATTTGATCCGGCTTTTTGGAGAAAGCCAAACATGATACAAAGTCTTGAAATACAGGAAAAGAGTACCAGAACATAACATAGAAACCTAAAGAAGTACCTTGCTGGGGATGCCAGCTACATATCAGGCTCACATTAAACCCAGAATACTCAAACATAAGAGCTAAAACCCTCAGGTAGGAAAACCAGCACAAAAGACACTAAAGATCTGCAGGCAACGTAAACGGTCTTAGTGACTTCAATTTGTCCAGTACAGCTTCAAGTCACGCTTCCAGCACCTTTCGCTCTTCTTCCTTTAGAAAAACCTTCCACCTCCGAGCAAAGGAGATCATCCTGTAGACAACCTGCAATGGAGATGAAACCAAAATATCTTTAAAAACCCAATCGTTTTGTGTCAGCCAAAGAGCCCAACAAGCACTGGCTAAAAGAACCATCCAAGTATTCTTCTTCCCCCTATCCCAAACAAAGCTAGTACTCCCAAACAAAGCTAATACATTCCCAGAAAGAAGTAGGCCTATTATTCAGACACAAAACTTCCTTCACTACACACCAAGTGAACACCGCAAGAGGACAGCCATACAAGATGTGATTAGTTGTTTCTCTGCTTTTGCAAAGTTTGCAAAAACTCATCCCCACCCTTCCAATTCCTTTTGACTAACTGAGAGGCACAAGGAAGTTTTCCCCTCCCCACAAGGTAAAGGAAATGTTTTATTTTTAAAGGAATCTTGCCTTTCCAGATAGACCACATTTCAGTATCTTTAACTCCCCCAAAAGTTAAAAGCCTATACATTGATTTAGCAGTAAAAGACTTATTTTTTGTGTAAGGCCAAATCACTTCATCCCTGTTACCATCAAGCTGGACAGATTGGAGGATATCCTTCACACCATGTAATTCTCCCTCTCTCTCTAAATTTAGGCTTCTCCTAAAAATCAAATTGCAGTCGCCATTAGCCCACATCTCCCTAACAGTAGCTTTTTGTTGTAAACTCACTTCATACAGCTTGTGAAAGGTCACTTTCAGAGGTGCATCACCAAGCCAAACATCCCCCCAGAAGTCCACCCTACCGCCATCATGTACTATTTTTTTGCACCAATCTTTGTAAGTGACTTTTACAATGGTGTAAGCCCTTCCAGAATTGAGAGCCCCCTACCTCTAAACTCTGGAAGAAGCTTCCCTTCAAGTATTTTCTCCTGAGAACTTCATAGCACATGTCAGTAGCTCTATTATCCAATTTCATAATCCACTTGCTGAGGAGGCAAATATTCATAATTCTAGTGTCCAAAAAACCCATCCCCCCAAAGTCTTTCGGTCTTAAAAAAGCCTCCCACTTAATCATGTGATATTTTTTCTTCCCCCCCCCCCCTACACCTTGCCAATAAAATCTACTTCTGGCAGAGTCCATTTTGGAGTGAAAGCCCTCTGGGAGAGAGTAGAAACCCATAGCATACATTGGGGCACTTGACAAAGATGAATTAATTTTTATTTCCCTACCCCCATAGGACAAATACCCACTTTTCCAAGGCTGCATCCTTTTTTCCACCCTTTTAATGATCAAACAAAAATCTTTCATGGTGATTTTATCCAAACTCATTGGCAGACCTAAATATGTAAAGGGCATCACCCCCACCTTACAATTCATCATATTGGCCACTCTAATCTCCTCCTCCCCACTCACGCCCAGCACATACATCTCACTTTTTTGGTAGTTAATCTTCATTCCTGACATCTCAAAGTAAAACAGAAGGAATTTCAGGCACATAATGTTTTGGTCAGATACTTGGGCAAAAAGGATGGTGTCATCAGCGTATTGCAAGTAACAAGCCCCTGCAACACCCCACTTTCTTTAGCCTTATCAAGAATGACAGCAAGAGCATCCCCTACAAGATTGAACATCAAGGGGGACAGGAGGTCCCCCTGCCTCAAGCCCCTGAAAGTTTTAAAGAAAGCTCCTTGTTCCCCATTGATGTTAATGCTCACCTTCCCCCCTTCATTGATCTTCTTTATCCAACTAATCATAATAAGATCAAAATTCTTTTTTTCTAAGACCTCATAGAGAAAATCACATTTGACTCTATCATAAGCTTTTTCGAAATCAATCTTAAAAACAATTCTTGACATCTTCTTCCTTTTCAACTCATGAAGTACTTCATGCAGAATGACACATCCCTCTAGAATGTTTCTCCCTGGAATGAAGGCCGTCTGGGACCAACTTATTATCTTATTTGCCACTTCAGAAAACCTCATTGTCACAGTCTTAGTCAAAATCTTCAAAATTACATTTTGCAAACAAATAGGTCTATACTGCTTGATTTTATTTGCATCTTTTATTTTGGGAAGCAAAGTTATCACCCCATAGTTAATCCTATCAATATCTAGCTCCCCTTTATGCAAATCATCATCATTTCTTTGATCAGACCCCCAAAATGGCTCCACAGATGTTTGTAAAAACCAACTGGAAAGCCATCAGGCCCGGGTGCAGTGTTTGCTTTCATACTTTTGATCACCTTCTCCACCTCCTCCATAGAGAAAGGTCTGACCATTCTTACCTTATCCTCTTCACTTAACCTAAGCCTATCTCCCCAAGCATCCCCTTTTAGATGAATGTTGCAGTTGTCCTCCTTACCAAAAAGCTTCTTATAGTACCCATATATATGCTGATTGATTTGTTCCTTATCTGTGATCACCTCCCCTCATTTTGTAGAGAGAAAATTAAACTCTTCCTTTTCCTACCATTAGCAGACCTGTGAAAAAGGAGGTGTTTGCATCTCCCCTAAGCAGCCAAGTCTCTCCACATATTTTCTGCCACCAAATCTCTTCATGAGAGTAAATATCCTCTAATTCTCTTTCTAATTCATACCTTTCTGCCCACTCATGCTCAAAAAGGTCCCTTTCATCTGCTCTTTTGTCGATTGCTTCCAATTGCCTTTCTAAAGCTTTTTTTCTTCTTTTTTGTTCACTGTTCAAATTAGCACCCCAACCCCTTAACCACCTTCTCAGAATAGGCATTAAGACATGCCAATAATCCAACACCCTTTTCTGTAATCTTGTTGGCATAACTTTAATTAAATGATATGAAAGTTTGGATGCTGGAACCACCCCATCTCAAACCTGAAAACATCACTCCTTGTCTTTTCCTCATCCCTAGTGTCAACTAGTGGATATCGCGTTTTGAAAGCGTGATATCGAGGTTCGCAACGGGTCAGGCAATACCGCCACGTTACCGCCAATACCAATTCGTGAGCGAGAGTGTGACGTCAGCTATGGATTTCCTGCTAGTCTTGAGCAATGAAAGAGCAAAGACATTTGAGCTGGTGATATCGCTTTTTGGCTAAGCGACGCCGACGACAGTTTCGAGTTTCTCTCGAGTGAGAGAGCGGCACGTGGCAAAGGCCGTGGAATGGGACACGACACCACTGCGGTTTCGCGATTTGGGAGAGTGTGGCATGGGTAGGAGTGAGCCCAACGGTCTCGCTCATTGGCAGCACGAGACTAGGCTTGGGGAACTTATTTATAAATAATATTATTTTAATGAAAAATTGCAAAAGTAGAAGCTGATCGACTAAAATTGCAAGTTTAATAACTTGTCGAACTGCGATTGTTCGACAGGGTTATGAATCACTTTTTAAAAAATAGAAAATGACAAGAAAGAGCATGACAGGGGGCCTATCGAACATCCATGGTTCGATAAGTCCTGCATGCATAGTGCTGCACAGTAGTGTACAGTGGCACATAGTGATTGTTCTCTTTTTTTTTAATTATTTTTTATCCCCTGTCGAACAACTGCAGTTCGACAGGGTATTTTTTATCCCCCATCGAATAACCGCAGTTCGACAGGTACCCTATCGAATTGCGGTGGTTTGATATGTACCCCTATCAAATTTTGGTTGTTCGATGGGTACTAAACTTGCAATTTTAGTCTATCAACCTTTTTTTTTGAAATTTTCTATTAAAACAGCATTATTACTAAAAAGAATTCCTTGGCTTGGTATCTCTTTTTCAGCGCGCGAGAGCGGCAGGGGTGTGGGGCCCGTGGTGTGGCTTTAATGGCGTGTTGGGGGGGGCTCGCGATCTCACATGCTTGGAATGCTAGAGTGGCGTCGATATCGCGGTTTCAACACGCGATAGCGGGAGGGTTGTGGGTCCCGTGGACTCGTTTTATTGGCGCTCTGGGGCAGCCGCGGTCTCGCCCATTGGGAGCGCGATACCACACGTGATCGGTGGCGTGGGGCCCGCGGTCTTGCTCATTGAAAGTGCGAGACCAGCTTTGAGAATCGCAAGTGACATGGGGCCACATTATTTTTTATATTTCAAAGAAAATTGCGCGCTAGCGTTTTGGAGCAGCATGCAATTACAGCCACTCTTCCCCTCTCTTCCTTTTTGCACGGGGAGTCACTTCATGTCTACCACGGACTCCCCATTTCACTCAACTTTCTCTTTATTATTTTTGCTAGCCGAGTCATTTTATGTCGGACACGATCACTCAGCTCGTAACATCTCTCTTCATATGAATCCAAGGACCCCATTCCATAAAAGGAGAGGAGATGGTCCCCAGGTCAAGCAGTACTGAGGAGGAGACAAAGAGCAAGAAGGGGAGTGTACTGAGGGGGAGAGGAAGAGCTAGAAGGGAGTGTACTGAGGAGAGGTAGAGCAAGAGGGATGGTGCACATAGGAAGGGAAGAGCAAGAGGGGAGGCTGTAGAGGAGAGGAGGCAGTGGAGAGAAGGAAAAAAAAATTACATGTAAGTTGATTAGTTTTTATATTAGTAAAAGTTTGTAGGATCGAGGATTTAGAAAAGATTATAGTTCACATAGTTTCTAGTAGGATAATAAATGTTTGTTATTAATTATTTAAGAGGAAATTTGAGGTATATATATTAGGTTGTAGATTTTTTTTATACGTCACATGTAAAAATACTCACATAGGATGTTAATAAATATAACATATTTATAATGT